TGCACAGATATGACCCTGGCACAGATCTTTGGCAGCGAGCAAACATGGCCATACAAAAGACCTGGGCTGCAGTGGTGTCTTCATCGGGTTTCAATGGTCCCTTCCAGAAGTGGTGGATGGAACAACATCGTGACGAGTTTCCTCTGGGATTCCCCTCAGTGGCGGTCGCCAGGGCTAAGCTCCAGATTCTTAAGAATGATGAGGTTCATTGGAGACAACATGTTAGGAAACTTCGTTCACAACACACCAGCAAGGTCTTCCATGACGACTGGAAGTTAGGAGGAGCCAAGCACTTTAGTGCCATAAAGCCCCCTGGCATGCCTAGAGTGGACTCCTTGGATGTTTCATCTCCTCACCGAGTGCAACTCTGCAGGGCCCGTGGAAAAAAGACGATGACTTTCGTGGTCAGAGATGATGACTTACAGTGTATCAGGGTAGGATGCAGATGGTCACAGGGATCATCGACGGCTACTGTTTCTAAAATCGGGCAAGGCAAGATTCATTTGGCGAATGTTTCTGGCACCTTCAAATCTGGAAGTATATTACAGTACAGGCCGACGGCCATACCGCATGAGATTACCCAGGTGGCGGGAGAGTACTGGAGATCTTTCTGGAATACAAAGAAGCATGCTCATGCTCAAGATGCTGAGATCCAGAATGCCATTGATGCATTACCAGACCTACCGGACCTTGATGTTACAACCGATCAACAGGACTTGGTTTGGGCGTTGTCTAAACTTGCTGTCAAGAAAGCACGGGGGATGGATGGTTTCTCCAACTACGAATTGAAACACTTGCCGATTTCTCTGCATTCACCTCTGGTTAAACTACTCAACTTATTTACGACCAAAGCGAGGTGGCCAGACAGCTTGACCCATGCGAGGATGGCACTTTTGCACAAGACACAGGTGGTGGGAGACATATCCTCAACAAGGCCTATTACGATTTTGGCATCGGTCTACAGGCTCTGGGCTAAAATTGTAACGAGGAAGATGTTACAACATGTCACCCCCCATCTTCCTACTACCCTATTTGGATCAGTGCCAGGGAGATGCTCTGGAGATATGGTGGCGATGGTGCAAACAAGGCTTGAAAAGGCCCTCTTGACTGGACATCCTATGTTTGGAGTATCACTGGACTTTTCCAAGGCATACAACACTTTGCCGAGAGAACTGCTGGGACTGATTAATCAGAAACTAGGTCTTTCCGATTTGTGGCGGCCATATTCTTCTTTTCTGTCATCCTTGCAGAGACACTTCAAATGTGGTGATCATTGGGGTCAACCTCAAAGGTCACAGGTGGGAGTCCCGGAGGGGTGTCCTATAGCAGTTGGCCAGATGATCTTATTGACATGGGTCTTTGCCTTGGCCATGAAACAGGAATCTGAAACGTCCTTGTATTCGTATGTAGACGATTGGATTTTGCTCACCTCGGAGACGGAACCACTGATCAAGGCGATCTTCAAGATACAATCTTTGGCTGCTAAGTTTGGGTTGATTCTGTCCCTTAGTAAATCGGGAGTATTTGCTACGAACCAGAAGTTGGCCAAGCAGTTGCAAGGGACTTTGGCACACCGAGGAATCACAATTGGATTGGTCAAAAACTTCAAAGGATTGGGGGTTAACTTCCAGACGGCCAAACAATTGGGTACCCAACTCAGAGATGAGAGATGGACAAAAGCCAAGCTTCTGTTGGAACGCTTGCAGTATATGCCCTGGACGGAGAAGGTCAAAACGCAGATTGTCAATCGTGGCATTCTCCCCTTGACGTTTTATGGTGCACAAACCTGGATGGCAGGGAAAGATTTCATTAGAGAAGTGCGAGCCAAGTGCAACCACTCAGTTTGGGGAAAGAAGCAATATCATTTGCACTACTTGGCTCCCCTTTTCTCTGGAGCAGACTACGAACCTATGCTTTATTTGGCCAAGTACAGATTTTCCTCTTTCATGCGCATGCTGGCACGGGATTTAACACTGGTGAAAGAAGTATGGGATCTTGCTTTTTCCAACAAAGCTTACTTCAAGAGATTTACTAAGGGAAAGGTGTCCCTCTTACAGTGTCAACTGAATGATCTGGGCTGGGAACTTAGCCAGGACGGTACATGTACATCCAGTGGTGGTTGGACTTTCAAGATTTGGGACATTTCCATGGCACAGTTCCAGCATTTGGTCCGAGAGGATTGGGAGCAAGGCCTCCTGCAACATCTTCGACTCAAACAGAACATTCATGATATCCAGACTTTTTCGGCCTACAGATCCCAATACCCCCCCCTTGGCGGATCCCATGTTGGAAGGTTTCATGCGAAAGGTGCGATTAGGAGGACTTTTTCCACAAAGGCGAAGATCCCATGTCAATGATGCCCATGATGACACTTGTCAACACTGTGGGGAAGTGGATACCCTCAAGCACAGAGTTCATTATTGCCCGGCAACCTACTCTGTCCGCCTGTCCCAAGAATGGGAGGAAGTTTCTACGCAATTGGATTCTGTGCTTCTGGCGGGTCTCTTTCCGAAACTTCCTGGGTTTGAGGAGTACCAGCAACAGTTAGATGCTCTGGGGCACCCGGATATTGGTTGCCCTTCTTTCGACTCCCCGAGGTATTCTCTTTTTACGGATGGATCGGCCTCACATGGTAACTGTCCTTTTCTAAGATTGTGTGGATGGGCTGTTACTTGCGCTCATGGTGATGGACCAAAGAACACAGTTCTGACAGTGGGGCTGTTACCTGGCAGGAGACAGACAGTGTTTCGGGCGGAATTCCAAGCTGTCAATGTTGCAATTGCTTCTGCACCATGTGTGGACGTCTACACCGACAATCAAGCAGTTGCACGTATTGTCAATCATCTTCTGGTCTCAGGCTATTGTAATGAAAGATGGTTTACGCATCCTGACCGGGATCTCATCCTTACGTGTTCCAAGCTGCTTGCAAGGAAAGCCAGAGGTGATGTCACTGTTACTTGGGTTAAGGCACATAGAGCCATTACTTCGGCGGCCAACAATCGCGACTTATGGCTGATACACCACAATGCTGCTGCTGACTCTGCTGCACAACAACCGCTGCTTCATATGCCGCCACTGATTGCGGGCCCGCGTTCTGAACTCAATGCTCGTTTGCTGTCAGATGTGGCCATGAAATGCAAGGCTTCTAAGATCCTGCGAATGGTCATGGATGAGTTCCCCTGAAGTCTCTGAGTGCACGCATAGTTTTTTGAGCTTTTATCTGTCTGCCTAATGCGGTGGTGCAGTCACGTCTCTTACGACCGGACTTCGCCATGTCAAGTTGTGTGCCTAAACCCTGCACTCGAAACCCCCAGCCCTAGGCTTCAGGGCGGAAATGCTCGTGCCCAGAAACTCCAAAGCATTCTAAACCCTATACCCAGGGTTTAGGGTTTAGGGTTTAGGGTAAATAGTTACCAATCTTATTCCTTAGGGTTCTTGATTACCAGTATGTTTTAACGGAGCCCAAAAACTTTTTCTAATTATTAAGGCCCCTACATTACCTCAAAAACTGAAAACGTCACTCCTCCCCAAGAGCCTGAAGCTCTAAAGCCTAAATAAAGCCTTACACCCGCAAGCTCAAATCCCTAAACCACAGTAGCCAGCACAAACAGAACAAACCAAAAGCACAATTGAAGTCCTAGACCCTTCACTTTAAACATATGCCCTTCTAGTCCCTTCATAACTTTGCGATTGCCTACCCCCCCACGCCAAAAGATCATGTTCCAATGCTTAATGCCATTGCTTTTTAAGTCCGGTAAGGACCTACACCCTAAACAAACCCTGAGCCCCCTAATCCGAAAACTCTAAACCCGAAGCCCCAACCCAACCCCTGAACCCAATCCCTAAACTAAGTATGTCGATCGGGCACCGTCCGGCGGCACAAAAACCAAGTTTTGCACTCGGTGCACAATACAAGTCTTACGACCGGCGGAAAAACCAAGTTTATCGCACAAGACATAAATCTGTTCAACGCTTTTGTTGCGACTCTTGCTTGTATTGTATTTCTGTTGTACAGCCAAGGTAAGAGCAACCATGCCCCGCGCGCAGGGCCCCGCACACTTGCACACCCCTCACACAGACACAGCCCCGCAGCCCCCTCCACACACCCACCAACCACCAACATTTGCGATCGGCGCCAGAAACCAAGTTTTACACGTTTAGCACTCTTGCTGCGACTCTTGCTTGTACTATTTTAATTTCTAGGCAAAGGTACAGCACCCATGCGCGCCACAGTTCCCGCACAACCTTAAACCCTAAACCGGAAGCCTTAAACCCAAACCGGAAGCCCTTAAACCCTAAACCCTAAACCCTAAGCCCTAAACCCAAACCCGAAGCCCTTAAACCCTAAGCCCTAAACCTAAGCCCAAAACGCCCTTCAACCCTAAACCCTAAGCCCTAAACCCTAATCCTAAGCCCTAAACCCTAAACCCTGAGCCCTAAACCCTAACCCTAGGCCCCAAACCCCAATTCGAAGCCCTAAACCTAAACCCTAAACCCTAAGCCTAGACAGCCCTAAACCCCAAGCCCTAAGCCCTCAACCCTAACTCGAAGCCCTAAACCCCAAGCCCTAAGCCCTCAACCCTAACTCGAAGCCCTAAACCCTAAACCCAAAGCCCTAAACCCTAACCCAAAGCCCTAAACCCTAAGCCCCAAACCCCAACTGGAAGCCCTAAACCCTTAACCCTAAACCCTAAGCCCTAAACCCTAACCCGAAGCCCTAAGCCCTAAGCCCTAACCCTAAGCCCTAAACTCTAAACCCCTAAACTCTAAACTCCTAAGCCCCTAAACTCTAAACCCCTAAGCCCTAAACCCAAACCGGAAGCCCTTAAACCCTAAGCCCTAAACCTAAGCCCTAAACTCTAAACCCCTAAACCCTAAATCCTAAACCCTAAACTCTTAACCCCTAAACTCTAAACCCCTAAGCCCTAAGCCCTAAACCCCTAAACTCTAAACTCCTAAACCCCTAAACTCCTAAACTCTATACCCTAACCCCTCTGGAGGTCTCTTCGTCGGCGGCCCACAGCCCGGGACTGGGCGGTCGCAGCATTACCTGTCGGGGGTCCATCGTGCAGCTTGGTTTACGGTTTTGGGGTTTTGGGGTTTAGGGTTTAGGGTTTAGGGGTTTAGGGGTTTAGGGGTTTAGGGGTTTAGGGCTTAGGGTTTAGGGTTTAGGGCTTAGGGTTTAGGGTTTGCGGTTTTGGGGTTTAGGGT